TTTAGTATGACGGTGATGGGCTTCCCAAGAACTGATCCTGAGCTCTAAACTCTGAACTGCGAAGTCCCGACCCCAAACCTAAAACCTAAACCCTAAACCCTAAACCCTAAACCCTACACCCTAGGCCCTAAACCCTAAACCCTAAACCCTAGCCCTTCTGAGAAACCCGAGGAGTGCTTTAGCGTAGTCATTCTAGAAACCCTTCGTTGGCATTACCCAAAGGGTCCTAAACGGTTTAGGGTTTAGGGTTTAGGGTTTAGGGCGTAGGGTGTAGGGTTTAGGGTTTAGGGTTTAGGGTTTAGGGTTTAGGGTTTAGGGTTTAGGGTTTAGGGGGATACTTCCCTAAACCGTAATAGTCGTTCCTAATATAGAAGCCTTCCATTCTACTATATAGGTACATAGGACCCTTGGGTTATAGTAGCCCTTCTGAGAACCCGTGGATTGGATGATAGTAGCCTTTGTAGGGTTTAGCGTTTAGGGGATGAGAGCCCAAAGATTATACCAGAATAGCCCCGATAACTTGTACCTAATCCTTCTTTCGAACACCCTTAAACCCTAAACCCTTCAACCCGAGTTTGCAGAACGTCCCATGATCTGAACTGAAAGTCTGACGAGGAGTTTATTGAGGATCTTTGGATATTGTGGCTTACGGCCCATTAAGTAGAATGTGGCTTGGGCTGTAAAGTCTTCGTGACGTGTGCGAGAAAAAAAGACAAAACCCAACACACTCCAGACCCTGAGCAACCGACTGAGTTTCTACTCTTCTTCGGCTTGTCATTATGCGTCCTGACCCCTAACCTCCCTAAACCCTACACCCAAACCCTAAATCCCCGACCCCCTGCACCCTAAACCGGCATCCATGAAGCCCTTCCTTACATCTGAAAAAAAAAACCAAGGAACCAAGCCTGCAAATGGCTCGTCTCGGAACCCATCTTGCAGAGCTGCAAAGCGGCTTGAGCCCAATGGACGTTGATATGTCCAAGTTTGCGGCTTAGGGTTTATAGGGTGTAGGCTTTCGTTTTAGATGATCGTTTTTAGAGTGTAGGGCTTCGGGTACGTATGGCTTAGGATTCCGCAAGCCTCATGGATTCAAGGTTTATTGAAGAGGCGACTTAGAAGGTTAGAATAAGGTACGTAGTCTACACTGTGAAGGGATTCGTAATTTGATGCTGTAAAGAGATTCAGAAGCTCTTTGTTTAGGGCTGCAATATATGAGCTATCAGGGAACATTACTTTGACTACTATTACTTCTGTATTATTACCAGTACTGCTACCGTTACTGTAACTATGACTGTTCTATTACTGTTACTCTCACTATCACGATTAACAATAACCTTTGCCACTACTAATATTACCAGTACTTACCCTTACAACTACTTCTACTACCAACTACTGCTGCTACTTCTACTACCAACTACTGCTGCT